TTGTTATCTCAGATTCTCCAGCATCTGCAGTTCCCACTATCTCTCAGACTGAAAAAGAACTGATGTTGTTATTTTTCAGTTAAATATTTAATTATTAAATACGTATTGCTGCAAAATAGTGTACAAACAGTAGGATCGTAGCATCTTTGTTAACACACCATGAAGTGTTAGTTTAAAAAAAAATCAAGTTGTAATAGTAGAAGATTGGCAATATCTGGCCCGGAATGGTTACTGTTGCTACATTTTTTTTTTAAAAATACCTAGAATTAGAAACAAGTGAAACATGATACATTTTTTAAAAAAAATATAGACCAGATCTGAATTGAATTTTAGTAAAAACTAATGAAAGTTACCTCAGTGCTGTTTATCTTGATTTGGTTCCTTTCTTGCCTTTATTCCCATTTTAAAAAGGTCCTTTTCAAGTGCATCAAAGCTACTTTTATAGTCAAACCCTGCACAGCTTAGACCATTTCAAATACCCATCAAATGTATTAGCTAAATGGATGAAACCACAAAGGAAAATGCAAGAAAAGTCAGAAATTCATCTCCATCTCAAAATTTCCAGGATATGGATCTTAAACACTACAATATATGTTAGTTGTGCCCTGATTAATTCATTCTCATGTGCATCTATTCCTCTGGTCCCATATGGATTTCATAGAGTATAGAAGTATCTGTACATGCGTATCCTTTTAACCTTGAATCACATTGATCTCTGTCATAAAGAAGTAAAGTCCTTTTATCTTTTTTTTTCATTAAAAAACCACAATATATCTTCAGTCTGAGGAAAGATATTCTGATATCTAATCTCATGTGGAACTCTTCAGTATTATACCTTTTTATCAAAGCCACAGACTTCTGCTTTTCACGGAAATTTGAAGGTATCGTGCATTACAATTCCCATAGGATTGATACTAACTCTGGAGTTTCGTGCCATAAAACCTGGTTTGCTTCTGCCATCATGTCAGTAAACAGCCTTAGAAATTAAAACCGAGACCTAGAAAATGTTAAATTTTCTGATGTGGAGGTGCCAGTGTTGGACTGGGGTGGACAAAGTTGGAAGTCACGTGACACTAGGTTATAGTCCAACAGGTTTATTTGAAATCACAAGCTTTCGGAGTGCTGCTCCTTCATCAGGTGAAGTGGCCATCTCCAATTTAATAATATCCCTCCTACAGCAGGGCGACCAGAACTGTACACAGTACTCCAAAAGTGGCCTCACCAACATCCTGTACAACTTCAACATGTCCCAACTACTAAACTCAATGGTCTGAGCAATGAAGGCAAGTGTGCGAAATGCCTTCTTGACCATCCTGCCTACTTGTGACGCAACTTTCAAAGGACTATGAACCTGAACCCCTTGGTCTCTCTGTTCTGCAACACCACTTAGAGCCGTACCATTGACTGTATAAGTCCTGCCCTTGTTTGTTTTATCAAAATGTGATACCTAGTATTTATTCAAATTAAACTCTATCTACCACTAGGGGGTTTATAAGAAAACACAAATTCTGACTTTTACTTAGCCGCACATGGAGGTTGCATACAAAATCCAAAGTGAAGAGGGCCGTATAATGTAAGTTTTGAATATCTTTATTATCAAAAAGATGGACTGGCTGAGAAATACTTATGATAAATTGCTCTTTTATTTGCTGTTATTCAGGATTGATTTTTTTTTAAGTTTTGTTAAGCGTTGAAGAGAATAATTACTAACTGGCCTTGTTCTCGTTGATGTAATGGAGTCGGTCAGTGAGTGAATGTTCTTAAAAAATGAGTCCAATAAAGTTAGGAGAGGTGTGTTGGAAGTATGAGTAGGTTGTTGTAATGCCTGTATGTCCCTCAATACTTGATGTTAAGATTAAAAAGGACAATTACATAATGTCAGTGATAGGGCAATATAAACAAAGGACTTTAAAAGAAAATTTGAAAAACAAAGAATCTTGGGTTTAGTACTGTCTTTTGGACAAGTTTCAAATAGAAACCAGATTAATTACACTGAACTGTATTGGTTGCACGCAAAGATGGCATCTGGAGTGGGCTGTTGCTTTGCAGTTTTAATACTGTAGGAAGTATTTTTTAAAAAAAAAGAGATTTGTTGAATGAGTGTTTTATTGGATGCAAAATCCTAAGGACAGAAAGAAATATTCAGTGTGTTACCTTTGTTGAGCGATATCAAAATTGACATTAACTGAATTAAAAACACTTGTGAGCATAATGAACTATATGTGCCTTATTCACGTTTATATTCAATATCTGGCAAATTACATTTAGTTCAAAAGGAAAAAACAATTGTAATTATTAACAGTAGTTCAGATTTTCTGATCTCTGGATTATCAGAGACTGTATGCAGCTGAGGACTCTTCAAAATATTCAGACTTTGGGTAGTTCTGATTTACTGGCCTGGATATTTACACAGGAAAGGTTTGACAGAAAAATCCTTCTGTACGCACCCCTACCCAGTATTGATCTGACCTGGCTAGCACCCACCATCCAACTTGCCACTGCACACCCTCAAACACACATCTGACTTAACCAGCTGACACCTCAGCTATCCTATCTCCTTACCAATTAGCTCCCTGACTCTACCCACATACACACCTACATGCACCTACCTACTAACTCGCTGACAATACAGCAGCTAATACAGGAAACAGAGACATGGATTCTGGCTGATTCTCTTTGCTGTTGCTTCAGAGGTTTCTGGTGTTAAGGTAGGTTTTTCTAGGATCCTCCAACTGACAGGTCATATTGCAGGTAAGTAGGCTATTTAAAATTCTAATGCTAGCTGTTATTGGGCTATTTGTTCTTTATTCATTCACAGGATAAGGGCGTTGCTGGCCAGGCAGCATTTACTACCCATCCCTAATTGCCTAGAGGGCAGTTAAGAGTCAACCAAGTCGCTGTGGGCTTGGAGTTACATGCAGGCCAGACCAGGTTCTTCCCTAAAAGACATTAGTGAACCAGATGGGTTTTCCAACAATTGGCAATGGATTTATGGTCATCTTAATTCCAGATATTTATTGAGTTCAAATTCCACCATCTGCCATGGTGGGATTTGAACCTGGGTCCCCAGAACATTATCTGGGTCTCTGGATTAACAGTCCAGTGATAATACCACTAGGCCATCACCTCCCCCCTTGTCTTACTCCAAATATTCCCATCCATCTCCAGCAGTTCAGCTGAACAAACCTTCTCTACCCACCTTAGTTTAATTTATAAAAATCTACCTGCATCAATTGAGAAATTCTATGGTTAGAAGCACTTAGCCCAGTACTTGAATACAGCTAGAGTACTAGGTACTGTTGTGGCAGTGCAGCCTGTACGTAATACCTGCAGGCATGCCAGCTGAAGATAGGCTGATAAGCTGGGCCAGGAGTTGGATGAGAAACCAGACGCAGAGGAGTTTTTGTAAAGGTGGAAGAGTCCTAGAGTTGTACAGAACGG